TGGACTTGTTGGGCCGAAGGGCCTGTTTCCATACTGTAGGGATTCTAAGAGTGGCACAGATTTTGCAGTAGAGGTATCGGTGAAGTTATCAGTGTCCATTACTATTGCCATTACTAAATAGCAACATCGAGCATCTGAGCATGTTCAAATAAACAAATAAATCAAGAAGCTGCTGTCTGAGTTTTCTTGGTCCTTCATACGGTTCTTTATAAAATACAGCATTGTGAAACAGTACATTGAAACAAATGCACTATTGTGAAGTTGCAATTCTTACCTACCACACATGTTGGAACCTGTCCTTTCAAGTTTAGGCAAACTTTCAATTTAAGTTATCGTTGTGTATCTTCTGACGTTGCATATTATATTGTACACATATACAGTGTCCTTGCTTCAGATTTTAATTATTGATGGAGAATTTTTAAAAGTACTTTTATTCTGTTTTAATCTCTCTTAGGACTTCTAATGGATACTTCACATCTCAGTAATATAATTAAGGAGACAAAGCTTTACTTGCTCTGTCCAAAGAGGTTCCCATAGAGGGTTACTGCACTCTTTTTGATTTCCAAAACTTCAAGCATAAAAGCAGATGAAATGACTGTTAACAACTCCAAATACAATGAATGGCCAATGTTTTTCATTCACCACTCACAACAAGATCCAGGCAAAGGTGTTAATATTCAAACAGAGGCAAAGCATAAAATAGCAAATATTAGATTAATCTTATCAACTGTTAAAGACAGTTGAAGCTAATTAGAATGTGCAAAATACCTCACTACAAAAGTGAAATACTATGAATGTGGAAATTTAAAATAAAACCGAAAATGCTCAATATAATTATCTGGTTGACCAGCACTTGTGAAATAAAAACAATAGACAACATATTTAGTGTTTCAGGTCAATCATCTTTGATCAGGGCTAGAAATATAGGATATCATAGAATCCCTACAGTGTGGAAACAAGCCCTTCGGCCCAACAGTCCACACTGACCCTCAGAGCATACCACGCAGACCCATCCCACATAACCCACCTAATCTGGACATCCCTGAACACTAAGGGAAATTTAGCATGGCCAATCCACCTAGCCTGCACATCTTTGGACTGTGGGAGGAAACCCACACAGGCATGGTGACAATGTGCAAATTCCACACAGACAGTCACCCGAGGGTAGATTCGAACCTAGATCCCCGGTGCTGTGAGGCACCAGTGTTAACCTCTGAGCCACTGTGCCGCCCCATATAACAAGGATAAAGCTTTTAAGCAAGGTACAGGGGAGGAAAAAAAAAGAGATAGGCTGAAAGACGGTAGAGATTGTTGAGGAAAAGGGATGATGGTGCATGGTAAATGGAGATGGCAGTTGGAAATGGAAAGAAACAAAAAAATAGCTCAAAGAAGGGAACAACAGAAATGTCATCAACAGCTGCTTGCTATATATACTAGAGACAGAAGGTATGAGCTAAAATTACTACTGTCAAATTGAAAATCTGTATTTCCTCAAGCATTCCCTTAAAGCTTCATTAGAATGGCAACATCAGAGAGTTCAGAATGGAGTAAGATGGTGAAATAAACATAGAACAGTCCCTTTGATCCAAAATGTCTGTGCCAACCATGATGCCATTCAAAACTAATCCCATCTGCCTGCATGTAGGCCATAACCCTCTTTTCCCTGCTTGTTCTGATGTTTAATTGCCTCCTAAACTTTGTTATTGTATCTGAATAAATAGAATCCCTACAGTGTGGAAACAGGCCCTTCGGCCCAACAAGTCCACACCAACCCTCAGAACATCCCACCCAGACCCATTCCCCAAACCCACCTAATCTACACATCCCTGAACACTATGGGCAATTTAGTATGGCCAATCACCTATCCTGCACATCTTTGGACTGTGGGAGGAAACCAGAGCACCTGGAGGAAACCCATGCAGACATGGGGAGAACGTGCAAACGTGCAAACTCCACACAGACAGTTGCCCAAGGGTGGAATCGAACCCAGGCTCCTGGTGCTGTGAGGCAGCAGTGCTAACCACTGAGCCACAGTGCCACTCAATTCATATAGCATCCTTAACTCAATGTGAAGTCCCTTGGGACATTTCAGAGTGTAAAACAAAATCTGACACCAAGCAGTTTCCGAAATTTGTTTTGCTATTACAAAAATTCCCAAGCTGAATCTTGCACCCATTTTATTATATTATTTAAACATCTGACAAGCAAATTGTCCTTTGCCGAACTGTCACTGGAACAACATTAAACTCAACTGCTTCATAAATTCAAACTTTTGAAAGACATACATCAGTGCCTGACATATAGCCTTTGAGGACAATTTACTAGCTTAGTTAATGGCCTGGGATGCAGTCATTTTGCATCACTGATCGCAATTGTTAAAATAAGGTGTTGAAAAGAATCAAACAGGATTTAAAATGTTACCAAAATTACAAAAATGTTGATCAATAAATTAGCAAGAATGAGAAAGTTTTATCCAATATTAAACACTGTCCAATCTGCTAAGGTTTTAAACCAGGTTACAAAAGATATTGGGCATGGTCAAAACTGTAATATAATCACATCATTATTCAGGTTGTGAAGAACTTGGAAGTTACTTAACGGAGTGTCTAAGAAAGTGTGTGTGTGCGGGAGAGCGTGCGCCATTACTTTTGGTGCAAAACTTGAACCATTGACTTCAATCTTAACAGGGAACACACATTATGTTGTAAAAAATCTTAACTTCACTGTCATTTTTGCCAAAATTGGAACTGTTGTATGTAAATATTAACTGTGAATGCCTTTACGTTTACTACTGTTCATTCAAACTGATTTTGTTCAATAAATGTAAATTATTCAGTTATATTGTTTGATTAACTTTGTGCTGATTATTTATTTGTCTATTTTTAAAACCGACTTGATAGTTTGAAGGAGAATTCAATTACAATACTGTGAATTTCATTCAAGTAATTAATTGTAGAAAGATTACGCTAGGAGCTGTAACTCCACACACAATAGTATTTGCACAGAGATATTTCTCTTGCTGTGCGTGCTTGTAGCAGTTATTTTTCCCATTTTAAGTATCTGACACATTCTCAAATGTTGAAGGGAGGACAGACAACCTTTCTGCACTTACTGACGTAATTACAATTTGATTCTTATTGCTTGGAACCTTCTGATGAAGCTGATACCTATTACAGTCCATAATTGGAAAAAAATCAACAATACAAGCCCATGTTTTTTCCACTGTTCTGTGAGCTGTATCATTGGTCACGATGCATTTTAATTAAATTGGAAGCCATACCCCTTTTAAACACCATTTAATATTAAAAAGAAAGACTTTCATTTATACAGTCCATTTGATGATGTCAAGATGTCCTAAAGTGTTGTATAACAAATTCAGTATTTTTGATGTAATGACCACTTATCTTAAAAAAGACAGCCAATTTGAGCACAGCAAATTCCTACAAACAATAGTGCAAAATCTGTCCAGGTAATTTTTGAGAGATGCATTACTACAGATAAGCTTAGGAATGAAAAGTTTTAATTTGTATGTGTTATTAGGTTGTTAAGGAAGCCTTTGATTTTGCATTTTTTTCAATGCCACGTAAGAAAGAACAAACAAAATTATAGTTAGAACCATGATCTTACAGAATGGTGAAGCAGGCTCAAAGGACCAAATGGCCTACTCTGATTCCTTGCTCATATGGGAGAGAAACAGGAGTCAGGAGTAGAACATTTGGCAGGAAATTAGCATTTGCGTGGGTTATTGCCATTTAGCATCATTTGTCATAGGTTGAGGGGCTGCCGTAAAAAACCAGGAGTGACTAAACTAATTTTCACAAGTTAGGAACTGCGGTAAGGATCCAGTGATCAGTATTATAATCCAGTATTAGGTCTAAACCAATTGCCTCTGGAAAAAGTAAATAGTCTGTTAGAAAACTCCATCAGGGAGGGAGGCAAGGGAGGGAAACACCTAGCAGCAAAGAGCTGAGAACAGTGTAGTTTCAGTAATTATAGCAGTCTGAGGTGCCTCTTACGGTATAGTGGCAGTGTTGCTATCTCTGCACCCGGAAACCTGGGTTCAAGTCTCACCTTCTTCAGAAGTGTGTCATAACACAACTGAATAGGCTGTTTAAACATATCCATGATATACTGGAAATATTAGGTTTGAAAAATAATCCACTGCTGTTGAAGTGTTAATGCTACAAAGGGATTTATATGCATGTTAAGACACAAACTGACTAAGCTAAAATATTGAAGGGTGTCATGAGCCAAGAGAACAAGTTCAAGGAACCTAGCGAAAACCTCAGGTGTCCTGAGATTCACGGGAGAAAGAAACTGACAAGTACTGAACTTGTGTATTGTGTCATATCTAGAACTAATTATATATGAAGTATCAATATTTATTACACAATAAATCTTGTTAATTTCAATTCTAAATTCTAATTATTCTTTTTGTTAGCTTCAACAAGAATTTCTACCTTTTCGTTTTACAAGAGAGTTCAAATCCCAACGGTTTGTAGTACTCCTTCAGTACTAGTCTGCTTGTCAGTCTACACTCTGAGGCTTAAGTCTCTGAACAGACTTTGAGCCTACAATCTCTTGACTCAAAGGCAAGAAGGTTACTGACTGTGTCATGGGTGATACATTAAGATAAAGTAAATCTATTGATGGTTATGAATCAATTTGACTTTGTAGTTAACATTAACTTTCAAGAGTAACTAGGATAGCATTTGCCAGGCTGACTGCCAGCTAAATAGAGTGGACTAATGGTGAGAGTAAGAGACCGTCCACTAATCTTATATAATAAATATCTTTTCAGTTGGCAAATGACACTTTCACCGTGACAATGGAGGTAAAAAGGGAATCCATAAATGTTCATGTTTGCTACCACTCTTCCTTTACACTAGGGATTTCTTCAGGGCAAAAGTAGTTATAGAATATGGGCAGACATGAAATAGCAATTGAAAAATTCAATTGTACATTTGCTAAAAAGTAAACCATTGCTTAATGGTACTCACCACTTGAGCATCAATTGCCACTTGAGCAAAACCCTTCCGACCACGCCAGAATATGCCATAAGTCTCATCACTAAACAGTGCTTCACGGACTCCACCTGGTGAGATGGCTAGTAAGTGACCACTTTTCAAAGCTTTGACACATTCTTCTTGTGGGCCATGCATAACACTAAAAACTTCCAACAATAATTTAAAGCCTGAAAGAAAATTTAGGGACCTGCTTACTGGCAGAAACAAGTGTGAAAAAATATAAAGCAACTGAGTATTTTAGTTCTATTGACTCACATAAAAGCATTAAAAGCATAACAGCACGGAAACAGATTCATCGGTCCAAATCATCTGTGCTGACTGGACATCCCAATCTAACCTATCCCATTTGCCAGCATTTGGCCCATATCCCTCTAAAAACTTCCTATTCATATACCCATCCAGATGCCTTTTAAAATGTTGTAATTGTAGCCATCTCCACTAAATCCTCTGGCAGCTAGCTCTATACATACACCATCTTCTATTTGAAAGTTGCTCCTCAGGTCCTTTTTAAATCTTTCCTCTCACCCAAACCTACATCCTCTAGTTTTGGACTTTCCCACCCTAGGAAAAAGACTTTGGCTTTTCACCCTATCCAAGCCTCTCATGATTTTATAAATGTCTATAATGTACTCCTCAGCCTCAAATGCTCCAGGGAAAAAGCCCCAGCCTATTCAGTCTCTCCCTACAGTTCATACCCTCTAGACCCAGCAACATCTGGATAAATCTTTTCTGCACCCTCTCAAGTTTAACAACATCCTTCCTATAGAAGGACTGCCAGAAATACACATAGTATTCCAAAAATGCCTTTGACAAAATTAATATTAGACCTAAACCAACCAGAATGCTATTTATTGACTGGCTGTTCATTAATTACTCACCATTCTAAGTTCATGTAAAATCAGCAACTATGTTTTTTTTACAAGATTTCACACAACCTTGAAAATTTTACTCATTTATACAAACATCTGAGTAAAACAACTTAGGATACAAGTGGATTCATGGTTATCAAGCAGGTATTCATCGAGGGGATTTAACTCATGCACTATCAAAGAGACCATGTTTACAAGATTGTGGAAAGTGGCAGAGGTGTAGGAAATTGAGAGTGCTAGCTGCAGAGAGTGAAATGCTGGGAGTTGAGATAAGTGTCGGAGTTTAGGAAAGGAAGGCATTGCTGTGTCTTATTTCCCTTACTACTCAATAGGTCCAGTGGAGTCATGAATAGGCCAAACGTTACACTTCAAAAGGACATTTCACCAGCGACTGCCCAGGCAGAGAAAAGAAAGAGCATAGGAGATTTGAAAAGACTTAAAAAGGTCCGTTGGAGGTAAGCAGTTGTTACTGTCACCAGCGACCGCCCAGGCAACAAATAAAAGGAAAGCAGGCTCTAGTGGAGTGGCCATTTTTGAGAGGGGCTGCTTTGAGATCGAAGTGCTGCTGGTAGGTCTAAGTGCAGGCTTAGGTAAATGCCGGGTTTTCTTGAGGAGGATGAGTAGTAACAATGCATAAGGCAAAATAAGACTTTTTTTTTTCCTACGTCCAATAGTTGCTAAACGGACAGAGATGGCAGTCAGTAGAGTGGTATGCTCCTCCTGTCAGACGTGGGAAATTAGGGAGCAGTCAAGCGCCCCGGCAACTATGTCTGCAGGACGTGTGTCAGGCTGCAGCTCCTTGCAGACAGCATGGATCGGTTGCATCAGCTGGACACAATGAGCATACAGGAGGCAGACAGTGTCACAGATAGTAGCTTCAGGGATGGGTTCAGTTGGGTAGATGGGTGACCACCAGGAGAGGTAGCCAGGTAGTGTAGGAGTCTCCTGTGGCTATCACCCTCTCAAACAAGTATATCAGTCCGGATACCATTGTTAGGAATGGGGATAGCCTCTCAGGGGAAAAGAGCAACAGCAGCCAGGCACCTGGCTCTGTTGTAAGAGAATGGCAAAGTCCAAGCGTGCAATTGTGACACGGGACTCTCTAGCCAGGGGCACAGACAGGCATTTCTGCAGCCACGAGCAAGGCTCCAGGATAGCATGTTGCCTCTAGCTGGTGCCAGATTCAAGGACGTCTTGCAGCATTTGCAATTTCTCAAAGGAGAGCGTGGGCAGCCAAAAGTAGTTGTACATGTTGGTACCAATGACATATGTAGAAAAAGGGATGAGGTCCTGCAGAGTGAATGAAAGGAGTTAAGCAAGAGGTTAAAGAGCAGGACATCAAGGCTGGTAATCTCTGGATTACTCCCGGTGCTGCATGCTGGTGATTGTAGGAAAAGGAGAACAGGACAGATGAATGTGTGGCTGCAGAGCTGGTGCAAGGAATGCAGATTTTTGGATCATTGGGATCACTTCTGGGGCAGCAGTGAGCTGTCAAAGAGGGACAGGTTGCACCTGAACTGAAGTGGACCAATATCCTGGTGGGCAGATTTGCTAGAGCTATTCAGGAAGCTTTAAACTAATCTGGCAGGGGTTTGGGACCCTACACAGTAGTGAGGCAAACAGAAGGTTAAGGCTTGTACAGAAGTTAAAGAGAACAAGTTAGACAGAAAAGGCAAGCAACAGCATAGCAGGCAACGAGGAAAGACTAATGAATTAAACTGCATTATTTCAATGCAAGAGGTAAGGCAGGTAAGGCAGATGAACTTACAGCATGGACGGATATCATAGTTATTGCAGAAACATGGCTGAGGGACGGACAGGACTGGCAGCTCGATGTGCAGATGCTATAGGAAGGGTAGAAGGGAGACGAGAGAGGAGGGGGACTGGCATTTTTTGATTTGGGAAAACATCACAGCAGTACTTAGAGAGGATATTCCTGACTGATCGTTCAATAAGCCTATGTGGGTGAGAAATAAGAAGGGGGTGATCGCTTTGATGGGACTGTACTATCGACCCCCTAATAACCAGAGGGAAATTGAGGAGCAAGTATGTAGGGAGATCAAAATAGCTGTATGAAGAGTACGGTTGTAATAATAGGAGGTTTTAACTTTCCAAACATAGACTGGAACTGTCATAGTGTTAAGGCCTTGGATAGGAAGTATTTGTTAAGTGTGTTCAGGAAAAATTTCGCAATCAATATGTGAAGATGGCACTACTAGAGAAGGGGAAATATGTGACCTCATCTTGGGAACTTATGCAGGGGAAGTGACTGAGATGTTCGTGGGGGAACACTTTGGGACCGATGACCATAATTCTATTTGTTCTAAAATAATTATGAAAAAGCTAGGTCTGGTCCACAAGTTAAAGTTCTAGGAGCAAATTACTGCAGAAGTTTGGAATCTGTACTGAAAACAACAAATTCTGGACATCACAGCAGGTCAGGCAGCATCCATGGAAAGAAAGCAGCTAACATTTTGAGTCTACATGGCTCTTCATCAGACCTGAAGTGAAGTTACACTTTTAAGTTAAAGTTCTTAATTGGAGCAAGGTTAATTTTGATGGCACTAGGCAGAAACTTTCAAAAGTTGATTGGGGGCAGGCTGTTTGCAAGTAAACAGACATCTGCCAAATGGAAGGCTTTCAAAAGCAAGATAACGAGAGTTCAGGGCCAGCATGTCCGTGTTAGTGTGAACAGCAAGACCAGCAGTAGTAGGGAACACTGAATGACTAGAGATATTGAGGCTCTGGTGAAGAAAAAGGAGGCATATGTCAGGTATGAGTAACTGGGATCAAGTGAGTCCATCGAGTGTAGGGGTGTACGAGTACAGGAGTGCATTTAAGAGGGAAATCAGGAGGCAAAAAGGGGACATGAGATAGCTTTGAAAGATAAGTTAATGGAGAACCCAAAGAGATTCTACAAGTATCTTAAGGGCAAAAGAGTAACTAGGGGGAAAATACAGTTCCTTAAAGATCAATGCAGCCACTTGCGTGTTGAACCACCGGAGATGTGTGAGATCCTAAATACTAGTTCTCATCAGTATTTACTGTGGAGAAAGGATGTGAAAGTTAAAGAAATTAAGGAATAAACAGTGATGTCTTGAAAAGACAGAAGAGGTGGTGCTGGAGCTCTTAAAAGGCATAAAGCTAGATGAATCCCCAGGACATGATCAAGAGTTTCTGAGAGCATTGTGGGAAGCTAGGGAAGAAATTGCAGAGCCCCTAGTGGAGATATTTGCATCATCACCAGCCACAGTTGAGGTGTCGGATAACTGGACGGTGGCTAATGTTGTGCTTTTATTGAAGAAAGGCTGCAAAGAAAACCCAGGAACTACAGACTGGTGAGTCCTAATGTCAGTGGTGGGTAAGTTGTTGGAGGGGATTCTGAGACACAGAATCTTATGCATTTGGATAGGCAAGGACTAATTAGGGATACTCAGCATGGCTTTGTGCATGGGAAATCCTGTCTCCGAAATTTCATTGACTTTTTTGAAGATGTAAGCAAAAAGATAGATGAAGACAAGAGCGGTAGCTGTTGTCAACATGGACTTTAGCAAGGCCACTGACAAGATACCACATGGTAGACTGGTTAGTGAGGTTACAACACATGGGATCCAGGGAGATCTAGCCAATTGGATAAAAAAAAAGTGCTTGACAGTAGGGGACAGAGTGTGTTGGTAGAGGGTAATTTAGCATGGTCAATTCATCTAACTTGCACATCTTTGGGCTGTGGGAAGAAACCAGAGCACCCGGGGAGAGTGTGCAAACTCCACACAGATAGTCGCCCAAGGCTGGAATCGAACCCAGGTCCCTGGCGCTGTGAGACAGCAGTGCTAACCACTGAACCACCATACCGCCCCAAGATGTGCTTGCTTGGCAAAAGAAGAAAGAAAAGATTTGAAGAACACTACCACTGCCTCAAACATCTTACTTTGGATGAAATGATGGTTAAAGAGGGAAGAACAACATACAAGCCATGATGCATACCAATTCTGCAATGCTTGTACATTTCAACTGCTTTTTAAAAATTGTTAATGTTTACCCTGTCTACAATTTAAGGAGGATTGAAAATTTCTTCAGATCATGCTCAAAATAAACTCGGTATTTTTCACATTTTGTTCAGTATACTTAGTAAAATAATATTTTTGTATTGATTTTGCTGGTTATTACACTGTCAAAGTATCTAAAGTGCATTAGTTTCACAACATATATCTTTACTCGGGAGGATAAGGCTGCAAGCACAGAATTCGAGAAAACAGACTGTGAAGTTCTTGAGCAAATTGATATAAGAAGCGAGGAGGTATTGGTAGTTTGATGGATTTAAAAGCGAGCAAATCCCCAGATCTGGATCAGTTGTAACCCTGGCTGCTGTGGGAGGTGAGAGAGGAAATTACAGGGGCCTTGACCCAAATTTTAAACTTGTCTCTGACCACAGGAGAGGTGCCAGAGGACTGAAGGACAGCAATGTAGTTCCACTTTACAAGAAGCACTGTAGAGATAGGTCAGGGAACAATAGACCAGTGAGTCTAACATCAGACGTGGAGAACCCATTGGAGAAAAAAATGAAGGAGAAAATTAATTTCCATTTAGACAGGCAAGGTTTAATAAGGGTAGTCACCATGGCTTTGTCAGGAGGTGGTCACAGCTAACAAATCTAGCGGAATGTTGAGAGGAAGTTACCAAGTGTTTAGATGTGGTTACGGCAGTTGATGAAGATTTCAGCTTAGTCTTTCACAACGTTTCACATGGCAAACTGACCAAGGTGGTAAAAGCTCCAGGATACCTTGTCAAGATGTATCTTAATTGGCTTAGTAGCAGCAGATTGAGGGTAGTGGTAGAAGGCTGTTGGTGTGACAGAGCCTGGTATGCAGTGGCATCTACAGGGATAAGTGCTGGTCGCCAATTGTTTGACATTCATAAATGGGCAGCAGATACATGGTAACACCGCCACTTGCGGTTCCTATCCAAGCCACTCACCATCCTGACAGAAATATATTTCTCATTCTTATATATTGCTCATTCACGGTGTCTGGGTCAAAATCCTGGAATTCCCTTCCTAAGAACATTGTCAGTCAACCTACAGCACTCTATTGCAGTTGAGGAAGGCAGCTCCCTACCACCTTCTCATAGGCAACTAGGGATGGGCAATAAATGCTGGCTCGACAGCAACATTTACATTCCACAAGTGAAGAAATGGGAGGTGATGCACTTTGGAAGAAAGAACTGGACAAGGGATTACTCAAATGAATGACAGAACACTAAGAAGCTCAGTGGAACGCAGGAATCTTGGGGTGCTTACCCACAAATTCCTGAAGATGACAGGACAGGTTAACAAGTTAATTAAGAAGGCATATAGGTTGCTTGCCTTTATCATTCATGGCATAGGCTATAAGAGCAGAGAGGTCATGTTAGAGCTGTACAGAACATTAAGGCCACAGCTGCAGTACTGTATGCAGTTCTGGTCACCGCACTAAAGGAAGAACATAATTGGACTGGAGTGGGAGCAGAGGAGATTCAACAGGATGTTGTCTGAATGGATCATTTCAGGAATATCTGAAGAGAGGCTGAGGCTGGATAAGCTTGGGCTGTTCTTTTTTTAGACAGCAGAGATGGTTGAGAGGGGGCCTGAGAGAGGTGTATGAGGTGATGGTCATGGAGAGAGTCAACAGAAAGCAGCTGTACCCTTTAGTCGAAGGGTCAATAACAGGGGGCTGTGGACTTGGGCCTTGCCTGAGATTGTGAGACTAGTATAGGTAATTGTACAGACTCAATGGGCCACTTCTGTACTATATGATTCTATGATGTAAAGTTATTTACAAGGTTCAATGTGAAATGCAAGGTCATTTCTCTACTGTAGAGATGTTCAAAATGTTATTTAGTGGAGGAAAACATCTAAGGGTACACACATTGGCAGCTCCTACAGAAATGGCAACTTTTGTGGTATTTGAGATAACCCATTTTGCAGAACACATAATCAAGTAAGAATGAGCAGAAATAATAGAAAAATTACCTGGTAACTTAAAAAGAAAGTGGTCAGCTACAGAGTGGCAGGTTCTTCCTTTCTGTATAATTACTTTAGCTAAAAAATAGTAATAGTCTACAGGTATGGCCCCATGATAATAAACAATCAGGGCAGGCCCTGCATCAGGAATCTTTTCCAAACCATGAACTTCGTAACCTGAGGAAAGAGGAGCAGAGTTAGCCTAATACTTAACGAATGAACAAGTCTACATTTTTATGCTTAAAATGTTTCCTGTCTACAAAAAAAAACAATATAAGTGCTAAAAATAAGAGTTACAAAATTAATCTGATCTGCACAATAAATATCACAAAAGTTGTCATATATGCCAAGTTAACAAAAGCAGATACTGCATTAATGGAGGCTCTCAACATCAATTCAATTCCGGTTACAATGAATCATGCATTGTTATCTAGGTAGGGACTCATTTCCAACATCAAAATAATAAATAACAGTTTACATTTTTCATTTCACAATACTTGCTACATTATGCTTTTATATTGTCTATTGGATATACTGCATATACAGCAGTTTCCTCCATAATATTCAGCCCACTGACATGCACGTATTCCCTTCATTGCACCAGTGGTGTCAGAGCTTTTAAGTGCCTTGGTCCTACTGTGACCTCACTATCTATTTCTCAAAACTCATCCTTTCAACCAGAAATCATAATCTTTCTTTTCTTGATTTGACATCCATTAGTCCATGTTCCCAGGTGAGAGAAATGCAAGGCACCTTTTTTTAAAGTGGTGCTTTATTAATGTCTGCTGTCACTAATTACTCAAGGAAAATGCTTTCCCCAAGTTCTTTCACAAATAATTCACTCCCTTCCTCTAATCCACCCTCCACACCCCCATTAAATCTATATAACTGAGGCTCTGTTTAACTGTTTGTCTGTCACTTGCTTTAAAGTGGTCATCCCTAATAAATCAATCAATCACTCTTTTCAACCCATTGCCTTCCTGGTTTTACTTGTGAGGAGATAGAAACCATCACATTTGGGATTAATGAATGAGATGTAAACCATGTCAGCGCTCAAAATAGACTGGAAATTTAGACAGGGATGAAAAGATGTATGAAAAGGTGTGCAAACACTTCTTGCTAATTGTATTTAGCAAAAAAAAAACAACAAAGCATGAACTGTATCAGAGATAGTAGGAACTGCAGATGCTGGAGAATCTGAGATAACAAGGTGTAGAGCTGGATGAACACAGCAGGTCAAGCAGCATCATAGGAGCAGGAAGGCTGACGTTTCGGGCCTAGACCCTTTATCAGAAAATGAAGAATTTTCTGATGAAGGGTCTAGGCCTGAAACGTCAGCCTTCCTGTTCCTATGATGCTGCTTAGCCTGCTGTGAACATAAAATTGATCTACTTCACTACCATCTTTCCCCCTCTGTATAGATCTTAAGAAGTCCCATCTCATGCAGCAAATCCTGTACTCTATCATTGAACCCCCTTCCCCTCCCCCATTTCTGAAGAAGGGTCTAGGCCCGAAACATCAGCCTTCCTGCTCCTATGATGCTGCTTGGCCTGCTGTGTTCATCCAGCTCTACACCTGGTTATCTCACTAAGCATGAACTAACTGGTTAGTCCAAATAGCCTATTTCCAATTTGTAACTTTAAATATTTTTTCCTTAAATCAAAGGAGGTACAATATGCACACATGGGGTGCCACACAACTGACCTAAATACTAGGTCCAGTTGGATTGTGCTTCGCTCTCCTGGGCCAAAATAACAGGAAGATCATAGGAACATAGAATTCCTACAGCGTGGAAGCAGGCCATTCTGTCCATCAAGTCCACACTGACCCTCCAAAGAGCATCCAGACCCAGGCCCATACCATATCCCTGTAACCCCACATTTATTATGACTAATCTACCTAGCCCACACATTCCTGGATGCTATGAGCAACTTGCTATGGTCAATCCACCAAACAGAGGAACATAGGAATTAGTTCTGGGAGTAGGCAATTCAACCCTTCGAGCACACTCCGCCATTTAACATGATCACGGCTGATCTTATCCTGGTCTCAGTTTCAGTTTCCTGCCTGCTCCCCTTTATCTCACTTTTCATCAGAAACATATTTATTTCTTTCTTGAATCTGTTGATTGCTTCTGCCTCCATCACACTCTGGGGCAGTGAATTCCACAGATTCACAACCCTCTGAGAAGTAGTTTCTCCTCATCTCAGTTCTGAACCAACCTCCTCTTATGATACTCTTTTACTCTATCTGTCCCACAAGGGGAAACACCTGTTCCACATCCATCTTATCAATACCCTTTAGCACTTTACATACCTCAGTCAAATCCCCCTGCATTCTGCTGAACACCAGCAAGTACAAGCCTTATCTGTTTAACCACTCCTCATGTGACAGCCCTTTCATCCCTGAAATCAACCTTGGGAACCTTCACTGAACCACCTCCAGTGCGACCATATTCTTCCTCAAGTAAGGAGACCAGAACTGGACACATTATTCCAGACCAAACACGTTATGCAATTGTAACAACACTTCTTTACTTTTATAATCCAGTCCTGTTGCAAAAAATGCAAGGACTGCATTTGTCTTTCTTATTGTATGCTGCATCTGCATATCCACTTTCTGCAATTCATGCATAAAGATGCTCAGATCCCTCTGCACTGACACATTTTGAATCTGGAAGTCATGCTTTTTAATTTACAGCCCAGCTCGCTGAAGTCTACTTGCAGGAATTCATCACTCTTCCTGCCTATATCATTGGTACCAATGTCTATCATGACCTCTGGCTGTTCACCCTTCCCCGTCACTATATCTTGAAAACACTTGGAGACATCCCTGACCCTGGCAAAACACCATCCTTGAGTCTTGTTTGCGGCAACAGAAACACCTGTCTGTGCCTCTAACAACTGAATCCCCAAATACCACCACTTGTCTGCACTTCAATCTACCCTCCCATAGCCAGTTGTGGTGCCACTGTTCTAGGTACTGCTGTTGTCATCCCCTGATAAGCTGTCCCCCTGAACAGTGCCTAAAATAGAACACCTGTTCAAGAGGTGATAGCCACAGGAGGCCCCTGCGCTGACTGCCTGCCCCTTGTGATCATCATTCATCTAGCTATATGCCTCAACATTGGGTGCGCCACCTCCCATCATCTGATGAGAGTTCAAAGAACATAGTCAGCATCATTTCCCATGATCAACTTCCTCTTTAAACTCTGATCTCCTACCAAGCACTCAAAATGTGAGGAGTTCAGTAGTGTTAAGATATTTTCTAATAATATATAAATTTCTCTAAGCAACCTGTTTAAAGATGTTATCACACATCTCTGGGGGGAGGCGGGACTTGAACCCTTTCCTGATTCTACCACTGTAACGTAAGAAGCCCATAAAAATCAAAAGTCTGGCATGGAAGCCAGCAATGTTTCGGGATTGAACACAGGACTGTAGCATTATAGGGACCATGCTCTAACCATCTGAGTTAACCAGCCTGCTTCTTTCAGGAGTGTCTTTAATTCAAGGTTTGTCACCAATTTTGTCAAGGTCTAGCAATTAATTCACAAGCTGTGCACAGTGTTTATTTTTGCATTCCCCTAATGTGAGAAAGTGATACACAAGGAACTGAAGTGATTCTGCCCATCAATTCAATCCCTCAAATTTTCTGACTCCTGTTCTCCAGTAAATAGTTTAAATGCGTAAAAGAGAATTTCATATGCGAGACTTCAGTTAATCATTTCCTTAGTCTGAAAAAGACTATATCAGTGTTCTGTGCTAAACTGAGCTTAAAAACCTGTATAGTATTTTCAGTTAATTCCATCACAATACTGCCCAGTCATTCTTCCCATAGCTGCATTGCCAAAACGTCACTATTTAGAGTCATAGAGTAATACAGCATGGAAACAAGCCCTTCAGCCCAAATTGGTCCATGCTGACCATGGTGCCCTGTCAACTAGTTCCAATTGCCTGCATTTGGTCCATATCCCTCTAAACCCTTCTCATCCATGTGCCTATTTTTAAAATATTGCTATTGTACTTGCCTCAACCACCCTCTCCGGCAGCCCATTCCACATACACACCACTCTCTGCGTGAAGATGTTGCCCCTCAGGTCCTTCTTAAATCTAGCCCCTCTCACCTTAAATCATTGCCCTCTAGTTTTCAATTCCCCATCCCTAGGAAAAAGACTACATGCATTCATCCTACTTATGCCCCTCATGATTTTATGCACTTCAATTAGATCACCCCTCATTCTCCGAAGTTCCAAGGAGGAAAGTCCAATCCTGGCCAACCCCTCCCTATAACTCAGGTCTACTAGGCCTGGCAACATCCTCGTAAATTTTCTTTGCACACTTTTCAGTTTAACTATGTCTTTCCTATAACAGGGTGACCAAAACTATACATAATACTCCAAGTGCAGCCTCACCAATGACTTATACAGCTGTAACATAACGTCCCAACCCCTATATTCAATGCCTCAACCAATGAAGGCTAGCATCCTAAATGTCTTCTTCACCACCCTGTCCACATGTGACACCACTTTCAAAGAACTATGTACTTGTACTCCTACTCTGTTCCACAACACTCCTCAGGACCTTACCATTTACTATACAAATCCTACCTTGGTTTGAATTTCCAAAGTGCAACACCTCACACTTCTCTGTGTTGAACTGCATTTGCCAATCCTCATTCCACTTCCCCATCTGATCAAAATCACTCTGTAATTTTTGATAACCTTCCTCGCTATCAACAATACCTCCTAATTTTGTATCATCTGCAAACTTACTTATTATGCCTTGTACATTCATTTCCAGAACATTTATGCATATAACAAATAACAAAGGTCCCAACACCAACCCATGGCACACCACTAGTCACAAGTGTTCAGTCCGAAAAACAACCTTCAACTTTCACCCTCTGCTTCCTGCCATTGAGCCGATTTTGAATCCAATTAGCTAGCTCTCCCTGGATCCCATGCGACCTAATTTTCATGACCAGCCTGCTGTGCAGGACCTTGTCAAAGGCCTTACTTACGTCCATATAGACAACATCCACTGCCCTACACTCATCTATCCTCTTGGTTACCTCTTCAAAAAACTTTAAAAGATTTGTCAGACAAGACTTCCCATGTACAAATCCACGCTCACTATCCCTAATCAGACCTTGACTATCCCAATGTTGGTGATCCT